AGCCCTTCCCGCGGGCAGCCCGGCACGGGTGGGCACCGCTGCTCTGCTGCTGCCCTCCGAGCTCTGCCCTCCCGGAACAGACGGACACTCTGGAAACCTGCTGCTGGCCACGGGAGCGCAAGGGCTACAGCTTACGGCGTACACCCGCTGCCACTACAGCACACGCCACACACGAGCCGCGCTTCTGGGAGGTTAATAAGCACTAATGATTTCTTAGACATGGCTCCGAGAAGATGAGTGGAATGTGAATACGAAGGTCTGTTCCCAGTCTGTGGGCTCAGGCACATTTCCTCTTATTTTCCTGCACCTTGGCACAGAAAGCAAGAGGGCTATAAAGAAGCGTGACGATGAATCACATTTGGGAAGCTCCATCAATGCAGAAGAGGAAAAACTGAATGACCTTGAGGGCTGCAGTACAAGAAACAGAACAAAAAGTGACAGTACAAAACAGCGTCCTGCTCGCAGGGCTGGCAAGGGACCTCTGCTCTAATGGAGAGAAAGTTCTGGGTCCACTGCGAGACCCCGGGGGTGCTGACTGGGAGGCACCACCGCGGCGCGGCCGCGGAAGGAATGCTGCAGGATCCGAGGTGTGCGGGTCCCAAGGACACACGGACGCATCCGTGTCACCACAGGAGACACCGCTACGCTCACATCTGGAATTCCAGGCACGGTTCTGGCCACTCATGTTCAAGGCAGGTAAATGCCATCGGGAACGGCTGCGGAGATGGGAGACGGCGCCAGCATGCCAAAGGCTTCTGTAGCCGCCCAAGGAGGGACAGAGGGGTCGGCGCTGTCACTCTGTGAGAGGAGACTTGAGGGTACTGAGCCCTGCGGTAGCCCTGCGCGAGCCCAGCTCCTCGCTGAGGGGTGGAGGATGCCCCGTGGCCGCCCGGCAGCAGAGGGGCAGGTCCCACAGGGACCCCCACCATGCGCAGGCCATGCTGCGAGGCCTCCCCGGCTCTCGGCACCATTTCCTCTTCGTTTGGTGGCTTCCAGGGCCTGGGAAGGTGGCCGTGCCCGCTCGCGGGGCTGAACCACGCGCCAGGAACCCACCGCGTGCCCCAGCTCCCGCCGCTGCAGGCTGGGGGTCTGTTCTCTGCAGAGCTGGGCGCGACGCTGGCTGGCACCGTGCTGTTGGCTCCGCACCCCCAGCACCGTCCGCAGCCCACATGGGGGCTGTCAGCCCAACTGGTCACAGACGCTTCATCCCGCTCTGGAGCCAGGCGGCATTTGCGGGCTGTGATCACTCACAAGTGGCACCTCAGCACAACACCCCTTCCCAGGACTTGCACTTGATGCGCAGCGACAGTATCTGCCTTGAGGGTCGTTCCTGGGTCACTGCTCTGCTCTCTGCAGGTTCACGTCGGTGTCATGCGTCCTGCCCGGGGGGACAGCGGCAGAGGTGTGGACCAGCCGCCTTTAGCCAAGCTGAGGCCAAGTGCTGCCACATTTTAGGATGCTGCTGAGGACGTCAGCTCGGTCAGGGTTCATGAACACTACGGCATTGTCCACATCTCCTTTAGGCAGTATCAAGTCAATCTTAGTGGGGAGCTTAATAAGGAAAATGAAATGCTTCCTTCCCTTTCCCCTCCTGCTCAGAAGACCAGCAGCCCGGAGATGGTGGGGCTGCCCGTTGCCACAGGTCTCTCTGAGTCGGGCCGTGGCAGCTCCACTCCCGGGGTCGGGCCGTGCCTCCACGCTTGTCTTCTCTGAAGCGGTTCTGGCAGCTCCCACCCCTGTCCCGTGGAGCTCGGTGGCTGCAGTCTGGCAGCACCAGAACCAGCAGCAGATCGACTGCCCCAGCTGCTTCTTCAGCGCAGGCAGATAAAGACCAGTGTGTTTGGAGAGGCAGGAGATGCGGCTCCGTTTGCTCACCACAGCACAGACGTGGGAGCGACCCGAATCAGCGGAGAGGGAGAACTGGTCTCACGGGAAGCAGTCGCACGAGCAGAGAAACACCAGCTTGATGAAAAGGGAAGTTCTACCCAAAGGAAGCGGGATTATGCATTTGTAGGACGGCTAATTGAGCCTTCTGGGAATGCTCTTACCAAAGGTACTGAAAAGCAGAGTTGTTGAATGAGTCACTAATGGATGAGGATTCTTCCTTTGAACTCTGTATCTCGGTCCAGATTTCTCCAACAGCATTAACGCGCTTCCAACCTCTCCAAAGAGAGACGCTTGGCTTTTGCTCAGCAAGTCTTTGGTGCTGCTGCTCTCGGCTCCTGGGTGTTTTTCATACTGGACTCCAAAAGCTGGAACTGCACGAAGGACCCTCCTGCTGTGCTGAGCCACCTTCGCTCCTGATGGGAGACCCGAGCCCATTCTCGTGATCCTCCACCGGTGCTGGGTGCACCTGAAGGCTCCGCCGCAGAGCTGGGTGCGATCTGTGGCCGTGGCCAGGCTGCGCTTTAGGACGGGGTTGGAGACTAATCCTCTCTCTGCGCGAAATGCAGGTGGACGCTCTGTGGCTTCCTGCCTAGAGCGCTGCACGCGCAGGTGTCCTGACACCTCTACAGCTCCCGTCTGGAAAGGGTTTTGTCTTCCAGAACTGTCTCATGAGAACTGTCCCTGAAAAGGGAGGACAAAGGGGAGGGGTGCAGAAAGGAAAGAAAGTCTCTCTGGATGGCCCCCAAAACAAAAATCAGAAGCACTCGTGCTACGTGTCACCATGGAAATACCACAACCGCCAAAGGGACGTCACTCACCGGCACCAGCTGGGCGCTCCCGCACGCCCTCAGGCTCTGCTCAGGTGAGTTTGCGTTGGGGGGGCTGGTGACGGGGTATGGGCCTGTTTTGGGTGGTAGAGGGGAACGTGCTTCTCCACAGAGCCCCGAGGAAGCCCCCCCCGACCAGAAACGAAGCCCCAGGACGAGAGGCAGCCCCCATCCGCCCGCCCCGCCAGTGCACGGCCCCAGCGGCAGAGCGAGCTGCCTCACGGGGACCATTGGCCAACACGCTGCTCTTCCTGAACTGCTCAATTTCAGCAAGAAATTTGTCCTGGCTCTCAGCAGGAGAATCCGAAGAGAGTTTATCCCCATAAAGAAAGCCCACGGGGAAAAGGGTGCCCAACAGCGCGTGAGGCTGAGCTGAAGAACTACTGAGAACAAGGTTTGTCACCAGAGGCGACCTAATTTCCTCCTGTCATTTTTTCTTAGGACTCCACTAGTGCAGCCAGCACTTTCATTAGGGAAGATAAATCTGGCACTTCTGAGTTCTCCTTTTTCACAGCAGAAAACCAAAGAGATGCTGCCAGGGAACACCTGAAAACTGCTACAAACAAGTGGGGTTAATGGTACCCGACGTACTGTCCCTCCTGGTGCAGTAACTCCAGCAGCACCTGGAGGGCTGAGGATGCTGAAGCAGCACTGGAAGAATTC